CGCAGCACCACAGTTACTTGAGAAACTTTCCCCCTTTAGTCATTCCTGTTTTCGTCAGACATGGGCTTGTTCTCTGAATCAAAGTTTGGACGTCACTCCCTCCTCATTTAAAATTTGTGGATCTTGACATGCATGTGCCTGGTTCAATTAAATCTCTATTACATCTGCTAATTTTTCTTATTTCTGCATGTTAGGTATACCATCATGCATCGATCTTGCTCCTGAGTGACTATGCCTGCCATTTCTGCCCGTGGCCAGCGATCGGGGTCATGTTAGGAATGAACTCTTTTGTGCATGTATTTCTCTATCTTTACTATGGCCAAGCAGCACTCAACCCCACCCAGCGGCCGCTGTGGAAGAGGACAATGACACAACTTCAAATGGTTCAATTTGTTGTTGGTATTGTTCATTCCTCCTTTGGTTATGCTCATCATGGTTTTTGTGTTTATAGTATTTTGTACGGCCTCAGCATGCTGGGTTTGTTTGGAAATTTTTACTATCCAGCTTTTATAAGGGTTAGACGTGAGAAAAAATCAGAATAAGCTGATTGACTGCCCCCTTGAATAGGGTCTATCATCTTCACACTTCTGAGGAACAGTAAAATGGAGAAATTTAACAAAAAACTCTTTCTAGTTATTCACAAGTATCAACCCACGCAGGGTGTTGGGAGAAACAGTCTCTTGTATTTTTAAAGATTACTCCTATCTAAAAAAAAAATTTTACTCATAACAAACGTCATTTTACATATTACACACATGCCAGGCCATTAAATACTGCATCATGTTTATTTTTAACAATCATTTAAGAGTTTGTTCAATAAATGGATCTTATTGTGTTCAGTCTGAAAGATCCCTTCTGGAGCTTTTTTTTTTTTATTTGAAAAGCTGATTGAAATAATCTAAACAATGGGTAACAAGCATGGTGCATTGCAAAGCATTATGGGTAACAAGCATGGTGTATTGCAAAGCATTATGGGTAACAAGCATGGTGTCTTGCAAAGCATTATGTCCTTCTGAGGAGAAGAGCCCTCAGAACATTTTGAAATTTGAAACTCTCC